TTATTGCGACTATGGCGACACATTGTACTAAAACATATTCATGCGGAAGAAGAGAATATGTTTAATTTATTTTTTATATAATATTTAGGTTACATATTGACTTCTTTATGTTACCATGTGTACATAGATATTTTTAAAAACCTTTTTTTTTTGTTCCAAGTAAAACATAATATATTACTATGGTAGGTTAAATGCTCAAAACATTAAAAAAACCTTTCTGTTTACACTCACTTTTTATTTTATTTTTTTAACCAGATTATAGTAGCTTCATTTTTTTTTATGCAAATATAGTCATCTGTACTGTGAGTCTATACTAATTTTTTTTCAGATTTGGAAAATTAATATTGAAGTTGTAAGAGCCTAAGAATATTTAAAATCGTACTCATTTCACCCATTTTGACGGTACATACCAATCAGGAACTGGAAGCTTAATGATTTTATCGGTTTGGGTTTAGGTTTCGGTTCTCAAAAATATCAAATTTCGGTTTTGGTTAATACCGGTGTTAACCCTTATTATTTGACTTTTTTTCAATAAAGTACTATGTAAAACAATGAACTAATTTAAGCGATCGTTGGTTATTGCACTCACGTACATACTGCCACGATGTATTTGTCGGGGGAGTATAATATTTTAATAATATTATGTTTGTCATGTTACATAGGAGGTATGTGCGCGTGCAGCCTTATTCGTGTGTCGTAGCTCGAGGGCATTTAATTGCCGGACGTCTGCCGCTCGCGCAATTACGCCTCCACTTTACACAAGTGCGAGTCCGGATGTCGCGGTGTATACGACTACGTGCGCATACTGGTCTGACATCTTCATAATCGCTTTCATCGGTACCGCTTTGTTTTCTCCCCAACACTCTTTAGTAATCGATACATATCACATTAATAATCTAATAATTTGATGAATCACGGTAAAAAGGTAGGTACTATTCCTATACCTGGTAACTATAGTACTCTAGGTATTCATTTTAAATGAGTTGTTTAAAACTTAGTTAATAGATGTTGAACACGGTAAAATCTTAAATAAGGACAATAAAAAAAAAGAGTTGTTTAAAACCCTACGATTAAACACCAAACGTGTTTGTTTTAAACTAGGTTCTATATTTTTTGTGCGACGGCTGGAAAGTTCATACTTATATTTATGTCATGATATTCACCAGGTACTTGAAATTATTTTTATCCATGGTTGCATCCATGCCGGTGCTATCATTTACATATTTTAACTGTTAACCGGAACCGATGACTGATGAGGAACATTCCTGAATCTTTGACACCATCTTCACAACAATTTATCTTCACCCTCAGCATTATTAGAACTTTAAGAATATTTTCTGCTACAATTTTAGGAATACCTATATTAAATATAGTTACTAAATATTTTTTTATATTATCCATACTATCTACAAAATTTCACACGGATATAAGCATAATTAAATTTTAAAGTTTATTGAAGTAAAACTTCTTTCATGAGGTGCTAGTGGGAAAAAAATAGTAACAAAAAATGAAACTACACGTTTGTTAATATATTTATTTTGCAAGTTTATTTTTATTATATTGATTTGTCTCACTCTTTCCCTGATTCACTTGTAATTTCATAGGCCCCAATACTTATGAAAGAATATATTAAATATAATATAATATTTCTGTAATGCTTCACTACCTAGTGTATTACTTACTTGGTATTTATTGCTGAATCATTAATAAACGTCCTTATATCGGTTCCATTCTAATTATTATGATTTATGTACTTCTTATAGTGTTTTTTGATTACTGTGAACAATGAACATAATCCATTAAAATTATATACCTTTTTAATGAAACTGGTCATTAGTGTGGGGGTGGAGGAATTTCCTTTCACGGGAGCAGGACGTATATTTAGTAAAACATCTTGTTATTTACAAGTAATAGGGACTGCTAATGTTTTGGGAGTATATTAAATATTATCAGTCAATTTATTTTTATAATATACATTTAAACTACATAATTGTACATGGAAATAAGCATAATTAAATATAAATATTCAAAATTTAAAATTTCCAATACTCTTCAAAAGCGCAGGGAAAAACAAATTTTTTTTCGCAAAAACTAATTTTGTGAAACTGTTTTGTAAAAAAAAACACATGATTGTAAAATCAATACGCTCCGCTCATAATCTAAAATTCGATTGTTTACAATTGTAAATAAAGGATTTTCGGTTTTTGTTACTTTGTGACTCAAAAATAATACTTGGAATACGCATGCATGGTCATCATACTTGTTTACGATTATTGCTACGTTATTATGAAAAAAAGTCGTAAAAAATACACCGTTGACTGCGATGTATTTTTGTTGTGAGTACGCTGCCATTTGTTGCTCGTGTTGTTCTGTCGATCGTTTTTCTACCTTGACAATGTGATTTTCACATCATCCCGTGAATACCGTGCGCCCGCAATGTATATGGTTGCGTGGAATGGAAATCGTAACTCCAGACGTCGCGCCGTCGTTGCTGTCTTCGTCGTTGTCGTTGTCGTCATGTAAAACGTACAAAACATTCGTAGTACCTACCACTGTCAAATGTTTTTATATCTTGTTTAATCAACAACAAGGACAGTTGACTAGTGATGTCTTGTTAACATCGAACTCTGTCTCCGTGATATTCCCAGAAAAAATTCCCAGGGAAGTGGTTTTTTCTCATTTTAATAACATTTTTTCTTGTTATTGACATTTTCTAATTTTTTATGTGTAAAATTAAAAATTTATGGAGCCATTCTTTTGTTTAATTGTTATTTGGTGACCCATCTGAGTAGGCGACAATCTAAGATAATTTCGTCTATAATGTTAACAATGACACATTTTTTGTTTCTTTTAGGGGTGCCGTTGTTTACAGATTATTTTATTATTAAATTATTAGATATATGCAAAATTTGGAGACCACATCCAAAGTTAAAAGTATATAAGTACATTTATAATATTAATGTGTTGATTGAATATTAAAGATAATTTAATAATTATAAAAATTATATTTTAACATTGATAGATCACACTATTAAGAATTCACATATGGTTCTATTGCTGAGGTCCTTCTATTCTATAAAAATGTATAACTATAAATTATAATAAAGATAATTATTAACCATCAATAAACAAATTGTTCATGTAGTTTTAACAACTACTATATTTTTAATAATAATTATAAAAAAAAAAAATTTGAAGCGCAATAGATACAGCAATTGTGTTTTGTGGAGCGACAAAAAACAATACGTGAAAGAAAAAAAACCAGTACGGTTAACAAAAGATAATCATCGTTCTATATTACAATACGACGACGATTTTGACGGACAAATTAATTTTTTTTTTTTGAGGAATGTGTATATAATATTTTATTGCGCTTTATTCGCATTACGTTTACATTATTGTAAGTCGTCCCCTAGCCTTCCGAAATTTTCGTCCCTATATTATGTCTGTACCTATATTAGTTATAAATGTATGGTAATTATCCAAGTTTATAATATAGGTATATATATTATATATTATTATACTCGTGAACTCTACTAGCGGATGGACGTTGTTTCGACGGTGGGCGACAGCGATGGTCTTTTTCGTGACGGACCAAAAACGCATCCTCTCTATTAGAGTTTAACAATATTATTATCATTTTAAGGATGACGTGGAGGTCTTCAAAGGCGACGCCGCCAAAAAATGTAAATGCGATCTCGTTAACGGTGATATTTGTAATGTCGGCCGTAACATATATATATTATGATGCGTGGTGTGCTGTGTCGACTGTGCGTCTGTGCTTTAATTGTCATCGTCAGTGCCGGTGTTTTGAATACTCTTATAGAAAACCAATTGAAAAATGAATACATTAATTTGAACAAGAATAAATAAATTTTAAAATTAGTAGTATCTGGGTCCCTAGAGGCGAAACGCCACCCGCCACCCACCACCTGCCACACACCACCACCGCCACCAGTCGCACCTACCCCCGACCGAACCCTCCACCGCCACCCGCCTCCCGACACATACACCACCACCGCCACCAGTGGCACCTACCCACGAACGAACCCCCCACCGCCACACACCACCCTACCAACCGGCCTACGCCCCTCCACTACCCGCCACCCGGCAGACCGCTGCTGACACTGCCCACCCCCGACCGTACCAACCACCACCTATCCTTATCACATTGTTTTTATCTATTAATGCGTTATCATATTACCATTATCACATTGATAAATAATTATAATGCGTTATCATATTGCCGTTATCACATTGATAAATTATCTATTAATAATTAAATATGGTTTAATATTTAAAAAATATTCGTGTATATCGCAAACAAAAAACACACACAGATTACACGGTTAACCTGCAAGGTCACCGTTGAATGACCACAGCCACCCTTTCACGCATCATTAGTCTTCACCCGATTTTTTACCAAGTCATACGTAGTGTGTAAAGTATTTTAAAATGTCGTGTAACAGCAGCCAAGTGTCTACAATAAATACACCAGATATATCTGCAGGATTCATTGATTTCTTAGCGAATGGCGAGTTTGATGAAATGGTAAGTTAAGTTATTTTCATATTATAATTAAAAATAATACAGTTAATACATATTATAGCTATCAAATACACCAAGACGTGTCTTTTATAGTACATTACTAAGCCAAGAAGAAAACATATCTTTTGGCGATGAACAAAATAACCAACCAACAAATGGTACGTTCATTTTATTATTGTTTTTATGCATTAAGTACACAATATATTTACCATTATAGAAAACCAAATTGATGCATGGGGTGGTGAAGATGCGGAAGCCATTGACGCAATATGTTCCGAAGCATTGGACAAATTTATATGGGGTGAAGATTACACTGATGATGATTATAAAGCTTTAGATGAAATATGTAGTAAAATTGAATACAGTACATAATATACTAAAACTTGTTATTTATATTTGTAAAATAAAAATTCACAATTATAGAGGTTTATATTTATATACAATACGTCATCTTATATAAACGGTGAATCAAGCATGGTATCATCGGTATCTGACGATTCCATTTCGTTATCTGCAAATTCGTCATCCGTTATATGCGGTGAATAAACCTCGGACATTGTTTCATCTGACGATTCCGTTTCTGTATCAGACATTTCGGCGTCTGTCGTGTCGTCATCACCATGTATCTCATCATCATCATCGGTATCTGCTAACTCTTCATAAGCATAGAGATCAGCCATATTTATGATTGGTGGTGACACTTGCTCGTCTCGACTAAACATAAATATTAAATTAAAAAAAGAAATATAGGTAAATAATGTTAAAGTTGTTTACCTTACGTCCCTGAGTATTTCGTCTATAAGATGCCATACGCCATCTAAGTCAGCAGTTGGTGGAGGTTGTGATTATTATTAATTCGACTTATTTAATGTTTAGTATCAGAGTGCAACCACAACCTCCACCAACTGCTGACTTAGATGGCGTATGGCATCTTATAGACGAAATACTCAGGGACGTAAGGTAAACAACTTTAACATTATTTACCTATATTTCTTTTTTTAATTTAATATTTATGTTTAGTCGAGACGAGCAAGTGTCACCACCAATCATAAATATGGCTGATCTCTATGCTTATGAAGAGTTAGCAGATACCGATGATGATGATGAGATACATGGTGATGACGACACGACAGACGCCGAAATGTCTGATACAGAAACGGAATCGTCAGATGAAACAATGTCCGAGGTTTATTCACCGCATATAACGGATGACGAATTTGCAGATAACGAAATGGAATCGTCAGATACCGATGATACCATGCTTGATTCACCGTTTATATAAGATGACGTATTGTATATAAATATAAACCTCTATAATTGTGAATTTTTATTTTACAAATATAAATAACAAGTTTTAGTATATTATGTACTGTATTCAATTTTACTACATATTTCATCTAAAGCTTTATAATCATCATCAGTGTAATCTTCACCCCATATAAATTTGTCCAATGCTTCGGAACATATTGCGTCAATGGCTTCCGCATCTTCACCACCCCATGCATCAATTTGGTTTTCTATAATGGTAAATATATTGTGTACTTAATGCATAAAAACAATAATAAAATGAACGTACCATTTGTTGGTTGGTTATTTTGTTCATCGCCAAAAGATATGTTTTCTTCTTGGCTTAGTAATGTACTATAAAAGACACGTCTTGGTGTATTTGATAGCTATAATATGTATTAACTGTATTATTTTTAATTATAATATGAAAATAACTTAACTTACCATTTCATCAAACTCGCCATTCGCTAAGAAATCAATGAATCCTGCAGATATATCTGGTGTATTTATTGTAGACACTTGGCTGCTGTTACACGACATTTTAAAATACTTTACACACTACGTATGACTTGGTAAAAAATCGGGTGAAGACTAATGATGCGTGAAAGGGTGGCTGTGGTCATTCAACGGTGACCTTGCAGGTTAACCGTGTAATCTGTGTGTGTTTTTTGTTTGCGATATACACGAATATTTTTTAAATATTAAACCATATTTAATTATTAATAGATAATTTATCAATGTGATAACGGCAATATGATAACGCATTATAATTATTTATCAATGTGATAATGGTAATATGATAACGCATTAATAGATAAAAACAATGTGATAAGGATAGGTGGTGGTTGGTACGGTCGGGGGTGGGCAGTGTCAGCAGCGGTCTGCCGGGTGGCGGGTAGTGGAGGGGCGTAGGCCGGTTGGTAGGGTGGTGTGTGGCGGTGGGGGGTTCGTTCGTGGGTAGGTGCCACTGGTGGCGGTGGTGGTGTATGTGTCGGGAGGCGGGTGGCGGTGGAGGGTTCGGTCGGGGGTAGGTGCGACTGGTGGCGGTGGTGGTGTGTGGCAGGTGGTGGGTGGCGGGTGGCGTTTCGCCTCTAGGGACCCAGATACTACTAAAATTCTAAATAGAATTTGCATTACGTCAATTACAGAAACCAATATCATATAATGCGGCATTTATGAACACATAAATAAAATTATGTTTATCTGATAAATGATCTATGTGTTCACACATGCAGTATTATTTGCTATTGGTTTCTGTGGTTGACATAATGCATAGGTACTTAAAATTAAATAAAACTTGTTCAAAATGTAAAAAGTAAACATACATGTAGCTACAAATAGTTAAGCACTATAAACAGTTGATATTTTGTTTAAAATTAGTTTTAGTTTTATATAATTATTTGCCATTAAATGTAGGTACCTTCTTAAGATGTTATATAGTTCTTTATTTAGCAGGCCAATTATTTAATATTTTGATTATTGAATTATTATTTAAATATTGGATTGTAGCTAAATATTATCATTGCGAATTTTTTTACCCTATAATTGCAAAAAAAATATTTTTGTTTTGAATTTCTATGAACTATAATTAATTACAGCTGAGTTTTGTTATTAGGTTTATTATTAATAAAAATGTATGGTAATAATACCGTTAGGTAGGTTTTGTTATTGTCATACAAGTACAAATTGGAATAACTTTATGTAAAGCATAGTTTGGTCATGCTTATTATTAGTTTATTGCAACCATTATTACTGTTAAGAGTGAATAATAAAAAAAAATAATGTGAATAATAGATGATAGAGATTATTAAAAAAAAAAATTAAACATTATTATAGAATAAGTAATAAAACAAAATTATAATGTGATTTTACCTATGCTTAGTAATTAAGTAAATTGTATTATATACATTATTAGAATTAGTAAATAAGCGTCCTCAACCAAATATCACTCTGTTTGCTGATAACTCGTAGATCCTATAAATAAAGGCCATTCAACCGTACCCCTATTATTAATTTATTGCAAAGATAATCGTAACTATTTATTTTGATATCAAAAGCCAATTTTTTTCTGTCTTGCATAAAAATTTTTTTGTAATGAACTACCACTTATATTTCCTTATTGAATAATGCTAGTACCTATAAGATGGATAGCACCGAAGCTGCTTGTTAAAATATAAATAGTTATAGATGTTATAATAATTTTAGAAATGAAATAACAATAATAATTTTTTTCACGAATGTTACGACTTACGATCGCCCATAACCATAATATCGTTGTATAATATTGTGCCCTATCGTTTGAAACGAGTCTGCACGCAGCGCGCTCTCAGATCCCGCTGTGGACACCTACGACGAGCACACCACAAGTCGACTGCACACCACCAAGTCAACTTGCACATAAAACATTTATGTAATTACACAAATGCACGCCAGCTTTACGATAATATTATGTTGGCAATAACAACGACAGATTATTGTTATTATTATTGTTTTCTAATGACCGAGCAAACCTAACTCGTAGATATTACAGGGTCGGCCCGGAATCGCCAACTCTACATTATTGCATACATCGCAGGTCTGGCATGGACGGCAAGCACGCTCACGCATACTTATACTTGCACACACACACTCAACAAGTGTCGCGAGAGTTATATAACACGTCGTATGTGGCGTGTAAATTATTCTTTCCTTCAACAGACATGGTACATTTTGTTTTATGTACGCGTAATATTAATTATCGCATATTAATACGTAGGTTTATTAATATTATTATACGAGAATAAAGCATAACAGTAATAATTTAAATATCTATTAATAACTTTTAACTGGCTGGAAATATTATACGATGTTTTTTCATATTAAATAAATAATACTTAATTTCATAAAATACAATTTCTAAAACATAATGAATACTATCGAGTAAATTCAATCATAGATCTCGCACGGTTTGTCGGTTTATTATTAGTTAATGCGTATTATAATAAATTTGATATTGTATCACAATTGAAAATTATTAATTAATTACTATATTATGTCATGATTTGGCAAAAAATGTGTGGCTGTATAATGCGGTGACCACATCCAGGTGTACTGTCACTTTTATATTTGTTCTGGACATATCGTGTAGGTACCATGTATATTTACTATTGTTGAGTTAATATTGTCATTTGACGATGTCTCATTCCTTCTAATTTTTTTTCATCGTGCTATGTTCAAAATACTGTGCAGGTCTATTGAATTGTTTAGGCGTTACTTTCGGTTCTTATTAACTGAGCGATTTAAATAAACCTGACTGACTGGATGAATATTTATACAAAAACAATTCGTTTAAGCTAAGTGTTATTAGTTCATATAATTTAATAAATCTGATATCGTGTTAAGATTGATAATAGTAAGTTAACATCGAAATTATTTATTTATTTTATTAGAAACTGCCAATAAATATCTAATAAATTATTTTTTCAACTTTTAACACGTTTGCTACGTAAAACGCGTCATTGTACATAGTTCGCAAATTATGCTGAATGACGCCAATTGGGATCATGTATCTTGTTATTTAATGGACTATAATTTGGTCAGCGTTACGATTAAACTTTTGGTTTTTTGTCAGCGTCTTCCATAATCAAGTGCAAACCGTACACTGATATTTTAATTTTTCAATTTTTAGGAAATTTTTTTTTAAAACTAGAATTTTACCAGCATCACGACAAGTATACAAAAATATGATATGTAGTGAACGTGTTAACACACGCGAGGCTCCTCGCGACGGCATAGTTTTCAACGCCTTAAAGCCCCCGCCCCCACCCCTCCCACGAGTAGAAATCTATTTTGCAGAAAAACAGGGTGACATTAATTTATTCCATATCGTGAACGGGATTACAATATAAAATCGAACACAATTGACACGATATTATTTATAGTAAGTAGGTACCTCATATATACTTAAAGGCGTATTATTATATTATTATAGCCTTATATGTATTGTCGATGCCTATCCTTGTATTTATATATAATATATATTGAGTTAGTGACGATGGCAGACGGTCTTTCGTTGATTTGACAAGACACGAGGAAATACGTACAAAGCCCGCACGAAATGTCATTATATTATATTTTGTGTAAAAAAGAAACTATATTGTATTTAATTTGTATTTAATTTATCGTCGGACGACACCAAGTAGGTAATGCACTATTTTTTTTTATAAATCATTCGTATTAGGTGAGAGGTTTGTTTTCCTACAACTTCTGCGGTTCGTACCTATACTACCTATTCAATAATATGGTTCTCGGATATTACCGTTGTGCACTCAACTCTGCTGAACCGATCTGTTATGATTACTTGAGTAGTTGATTGGTGTGGAGCTGCTGATGGACCACGAACGTGGGTGATACCGGGTAACTACCAGTAGATATAGTTAACGTTTAGAACAAAAGA